AGAGAGAGAGAGAGAGAGATTGACGAAAGGCTTTCGTTTCCTCTTTATCTTATGGTTGTTTTTCTTTCGCCAAGGATTTTTGTCAGGTAGCGAGACGATACGAATTTTTACGATGAGTTTTTTTTGATAGTTATTCGATAAAAATATGAGAGCGCACGTCGATGTTTTGACAGTTTAACAAAGTGGAATACAATGTTGTGAGAGGCAAGGAGAAATCATAGTCAGAGATTCGCGCATTATAAAAACTCTTTGGGATCTTAAGTCTCTTGAAAATCTTGATTCAGAGATACAAATCTCTATCGATTTGGCATTCGGAGGGAAAAAATAAATTCGACAAGAGTAAATTTTTCGGTGAAAAGTAATAGAAAAAATAATGAAATTTTCACGACGCGTCCAAGTTATTAAAATTTCGAGCGTGCGAAACTTGACGACGCGAAAAGTACTTTGCCGCTTACTACGCGCGTGTCACATGCAACGAGCATCGTGACGATTTGGAAAATGGAATCTCGTATCATGGTGATAATAAGATTGATATATATATAGAGAGAAGAAGGTTTATTCCTTGATAAATATCGAGAAGCAACGAGATGACTGTTTTCTTCCATCAAGGAAAACCAGGAAGAAGGGAGATCGATCGAATTTCCGTCACGATAAAACCCCATAAACATCCTCGTATAACGAGGATGTTTGCAAAAACGAATGAGGATCGAATATAACAGTCATAAATTTCTCCAATTTATCGAATTATAAACTTTTTCTTATAAAATGAATGAATACGGATTTCGTTATCACGTTTGATTGAACATTTTCTCAATTAAATTACACAATACCGTGAATTTGAAATAGTTCTACCGCCAAGGAAATCGAAAAATTCAGGAAATCTATCGTTGAACGAAATTGATATTGATTCGAACGTTTAAAAGAATTTTCCATCGATTCGTGATTGAAATAGGACGATGACAGAAAAACCTTTGTCCAATTTCAATCGTAAGGATCATATCGCTCGATTAAACGATAAGATTCGATCGAGTTCAAGAAATAAATACGACTCTTCTTCGATTTTATTCGTTCGTATTTTGGAAAAAAAAATTGAAGCTTTTCTTAACTAATCTTTCGATTTCAGTATTAATTAAGGAATAAAGTCGAAGACCAAAGTGTGCAATCGTGGTTTACGATAATTCGCGAAATTGGTTATCGAAGCTTAAAAACAAAAAAGTATGCACGCGCAAAGGTTGATCTCTTCCACTTAACGGTTGCGGTTGAAGCTCGATAAACGTGTCGTTTCCCCCGCCGCGACTGGAAGGATAGGAGAAAGGAAAAAAAAGGAGGAGGATCGATACATAGTTGATAAAGGCTTTTTGTAGAACGCCGTTGAAAATGTCCATGGATAAGCTGTAACATTGTAATAAAGCCCGTTTAATTCCGGTTAAGCGGAGAGAAATACAATGTACAATGTGTATATACTCTTATGATTCGATTGATTAACCGATTTGTTAAATTTTTCGAAATTCGGTTGTCTTCTTCTTTTTCTTCTTCGAGAAACAATTTTCGATCGCTTCTCTCGATTTCTTATTTATTTTCCATTCGATGCGTTTTTCGCTCCCCGTGAATTTTGCGAATTTCACACGAAAATTCGAATCGATATTTCGAATGTGAGAGTGGGATTCAGTGTTTGCCAATTTTTTTTTTAATATGTATAAAATTTTTTTGATAGGAAAAAAATATTGTATAATTTGTATATAAGGAATATCAGTGAATATTAAAAATCTGTCGTGGCAAATGTGCGTAAAATATTTTATATAAATTTGATATTTTCTCAACATTCGCAAGTGTCGTTTCGTATTTATTTGATAAATAATGCGGAAATAAATAAATGTTCATTGTTCATAATTTTCTATATAAATGATTACAAGTATAAAAAGTGACTTTCTTGAGGGAAATTCACATGTATATGAAAGACATTGATTTGAAATCGATACGAATTTTTCTTTGAAATACCTGTTGAGTTTGAGTCGCGGTGAAATTTTTTCTCACGATTTTGTCAGCGTTTATCAAAGTATGCGATATCTGGAGAAGACGCTTAAGAAAATCTTTTTTCGTTGAAATCGACTTTTCCTGGTTTTTATTAATAAGAAATGATTAAATCGCAATGAATCTGGTATCGTAAGCAAGAACGAAATCTCGTATTGATAATTCTTAAATAAATTAATTATCGAAAAGAAAGAAATTCTTAATTCAAAGTTTAACTTTTAAGTTTTCTAATTGGAAGGGATAATCGTTGATATTGCATCATTTCGAAACGATTCGAAATTCGAATTTATAGAAAAATTTACAATCATATTTCGCATTTTTTGGCAATTATCGGTGCGCAATAATTGCTCGCGAAAAATTTTATGATTCATTATTTCGAAAATTTCATGAAAATTATCATGAAGATTGAAAAACGATATTCTTTTCGATAATAAAACAATTTTATAACTAGATAATATTTTAAATCATCATTTTATATTAGTTTCTCTCGAAGATTAAAGAACAAAATTTAAATTATCGTTTCTCAATCAATCTCTAATGACAAATACGTGCATCTTCAAATCGTAATCGTGCTTTCGCAAATTTAACTCGCATATCCCTTCAAAAATATTAGTTTTCTCTCGCTTCGATTCCTTCGTCAATCCAATTCTCTTTTTTCAAAAATCGCATCGAGAGAGAAAGAGAGATACAAATATTTCCATATCTCGTATTTTTTTGCAGAATTAAAAAAAAGTTTATCGGAAATATACAAAATCTCCAATATTTCGAACGTTAAATTTCAATTTTCGCAGAAAAATTAAAAAAAAAAAAATTGCAAAAAAAAATTTCTCGGAAGAATATTTCAAATGAATAAAACTTTAAAAAAAAAACTTTATATTTCTTATTATACATCGTACGATCATTTGAATCCGAACAGAGAATCGAGATCTCGTTCGAATCTTAAATAAACGAGAGCGTCGCCACGATTCACGATTAACGAACAACCACGGCGCGGAACACGCCACATGTTGCTTCTTCACAGAGTTCGAACTTTCGCCCGAGTTTCCCCAAAGTCGAAGCGACTTTTTCACGAATCGTTCAACACGTTCTCATCGTGTCGAAACTTTTAATCGAACCCTGCCTGAATCTCGGGAGGGGGGGCAAGAATCGAGGCGGAAACTCCCCCCTCCTCCTCTCCCCTTATTCTTACTCGAGGAATAATCAAAACTCGTTCGAGGATTCCCGCCAAGGAAATCGTCCCTCCTGCTAATTTCTTTCTTTCATCGACGAATCTCGTTCCAAAAGAGAAGAAAAAGTGAACCAAGTGCTGCTACGCCAAGTGCTTACCTCGATCAAGGAAAAAAAAAAGAAGAAGAAGAAAAAAAGAAACTATGAATTGAAAGTGGAT